CGTTAGCAGGCAGCCAGAATCGAGAGCGGAACCAGGCCTCCATCCGGACACTGTGCTGTGGAATATGGGCATCCCAATAGCATCTTCATCTCAGCATAGAATGCCTGCCCCTTGTTTTACTTCTCAGACTGCCAGCTGTGTGTCTGGCCTTGGAGTAATGCTGCAGTGGTGTTTGTGGACGGTCGGTGTCCCCCTCCCCCAGGTGCCCTGGCCTGCCTCGGCAGGGCTGCTTCTCTCAGCGGGCTGCTTGCTGCGTGTTCCTCCCTGGGCACCCTGAGCGTTTCCCTGTTTGCTGCACGTGCCGTGCTTGTCCGTGGAGTGGAGAGTGCAGGCTGCGTCAGCTCGGAGGGTAACTAGCATCAAGGTTGATGCGAGAACTTGACCGTCACCAACAGTGCTGCAAGACAAACCTCTTCCTGCAGGCGTGTGGGGATTCGTTCCTCAGAGGACAAAGTGTTGCGACTGCCCCAGGGTGGGGCTGTCTCCCTGTGCTGACACCAGGGCCACAGGCTCAAAGTACGTTTCTCAGAAGGCAGCCTGGGAAGGAGTCAGGAGCAGTGTGCCCACGGATCGCCCCGTCGGAGTCGGGCAGGTGGACAGCTGATGTACAGACGTGGCTGAGATGTGGGCTGATAGAGAGGGAGCCTGGTCCGGCCCGCCCAGTGCTGCTGTGTTCTAGGCACTTCTCCCAAAGAAGCGGGAAATGAATCAAACATAAACCAGAAACCCAGGATTAGACCCATTCTTTTTTTTTTCTTTTTTTAAGATTGATTTGTTTATTTTCATTGGAAGTCAAGATATACAGAGGAGAGATAGAGGAAGATCCTCTGTCCACTGATTCACTCAACCAAGTGGCTGCAGTGGCTGGAGCTGAGCTTATCTGAAGCCACGAGCCAGGATCCTCCCACACAGGTGCAGGATCCCAAGGCTTTGGGCCGTCCTCAACTGCCCTCGCAGGCCACAAGCAGGGAGCTGGATGGGAAACGGGGCCGCTGGGACATGAACTGGTGCCCACGCGGGATCCCAGGATGTGCAAGACGACTTCAGCTGCTAGACTACTGCATCGGGCCCTAGACCCATTCTTACAGCATGAGGCAGGTGGACTTGCAGGGAAAGGATGACGAACATTGGAGGTTTGTGGTTGTCGGGGAAACTCAGCAGCGCTGTTGCTGCCGTTTGCTTGTCCTTGTGACAGAGATGGGGCATTTTCGTGTTTTAGGGGTCACCTGTCTGCCCTTTCCCCCTCTTCTCTGGGGTCACCGATCTGATTGAGGGCAGTTGGAGATCAGCCGTGAACATGGTCCGTGCTTGCCTCTCGCCCTCCGGGACCAGTCCTTCCTGCCTTGACGCCAAGCAAAGCCCACTGCGCTTTCTCTTTGTCCCCGCGTTTGCTAGGGGTCCGGGACCACAGATGCTGACAGGTGGCTTTGCTGGCGAGCGGTGAGGAGGCCTGGTGGGGTTTGCTGTAGAGAAGAGGGGGAGGCCGGACAGCAGCTGTGTAAAGAAGCAGTGTGGGAAGGTGTGGTGTGCGGAGCCAGCCGGCCAGCCCTGCTCCCGAGGGCCGCCCCCTCGCAGGTGGAGATGGGAGTGGAGCTGATTGCTGCCATAGTCCGAACAGGCTCACTGAAATGGTTTAAAAGAGGGGAATCTCCAAGGAAAGGCGGCACTTGAGACTGGTCTGGGCGGGACTGGCTGTGACAGTGTCAGAAGAGGGGATTTCTAGTGGAATTGCTTTGTCTTGAGGTTGCTGCGCATTCCTTCTAATGACTGGAAACTTCTGAGAACCACGGAAAACCTGCGAGGGACAAGGGCTGCGTTTCCTGGCTTGGCCTGGCTGTTCTCCTCCTGAACACCAGCAGCTCCTGCCAGGGCTTGTGGAGTCCTGGTGAAAAGGAGAGCAGAGGTGTGCTTGGGGTTCAGTGTCGTGCAGCCCCGACCCTGGGGCTCCCTGCTTGCCTGCTGTGGCTGTGCGCTCCACTTGTCCTGACTCCGTACCACAATGGTATGGAATCCACCTCTGCTTTTCGCTCAGGCCAGTCTCTCGGACCCTTGCTGGTTGACCGGTAGATTTTGCTCCATTTGAGACCCCTAACAGGTCGCTTTTATTGTGCATGTGGGTGGGTCCTGAACTTAGGACATGTGCTGTGTAGCTGGTGATGGGAGCTTCTTAGGGGAGCTGGTTTTCCTGTTCTCAAAGCAGGAGTCAGAGGCTGTTGCACTTTAGTAAAGGAGAGTGGTTCCGTCTTGGGAGGCTGGCTGAGCTGGGGTGTCACGGGCACAGCATGTCCTGCAGAGTTAGAAGGGACTAGAGCAGAGGATGCTGAGGCAGGTGAAGCAGTGCAGATCCACGCTGCCAGCTGCAGTGCCCTCTGGCATGCTGTTGCTGTCTCATTAGCCTTGGCATTGGTGCCAGTGCAGCCATATCTGTGTGAGTTGACCGGGAGGCAGCAGAGACGAGAAATGATGGGCAAGTGAACGCAGGTCCTGCCATGTGTGGGGATGGTCTAGAAGGCTCTGCTGGCTCCCAGGCTCTGCCCTCCTCCCCCTGGAACTTGGCCTTACTCCTGTTCCCCATCTCAGGCAGGCAAGGTGTGGCCCACACCCCTGAGTTCAGAAGGGATGAGAGACCATTTCTATTTTGCTTGCAGTCTGAGAGCTGTCTCCTCCCGGGACATGGACCCTGGCCGGGTGTCCGTCCCCTGAGAAGATGCCCACACACTCTCGCAGGGTTTGCCTTTCCTTCAGAAGATAGGGAAATATGCTTGGGTCCGTGAGGGTCTTTGTGCTTTTGAGGACCACAAGGAGGGAGGTCCCAGGGAAATCTCCATTTCCTGTCCTTCAGAAGGGGCAGCAGCATCTTCCTAAACATCAGTCCCCACAGTGCTGGCGAAGAGGCCGCCCCATGGCAGGGACGAGGCGGCGCACGCAGCCGCACATCCCTACTTCCATCTAGGGTGGGATGGTGGCAGCTTATATTTCCCTGCAGCCTGTGGCCTAGCCTACAGGTGCTGCACAGAGCCGGTAACCCTGAGACGTAAAAGGAGGGGCAACAAGTTGAGGACAGCCGTCAATCTCAGAGCAGCCTTAGAACCAAATGACTACGATCACACAGACTGCGGGAGCCTGGGGATTCCGGCCTGTTTCCCTCGTGCTTCACAGTGAATTCCCCCAGTAGCACAAAGCCTTGGGCGCTGACCCCTGAGACGGGGGCCTTCGTGGCCTCCCTGAGAGGAGGGTACTGGAGGACAAGCTGGCTGGTGCTATGTGGCCTGGAGGACAGTGCTGCGTCTTCCCCCTGGTGCTGGAATGCCCTCCCTGTGTTTCAAGAAGATTCTCAGTAAGGAGTGAAGGGGTTCTTGGGAGATGTCTTCAGTGCTCTGACCATTATTGCCATATGGACGTCCAGTTGGATAAGAATCATGGGTGGCTCAGAGGCAGGATGTTGGAAATAGAGCGGCACTGCTTCTCTTCAGCACATCCCATGGTGACTTCCTGGACTAGGTACGTGGAGGACAAGTGGGCTTCCTCACACTGGCCAGGAAGACAGAGTCCTGGGGAATGGCCCAGTCAAGCCCTTGTGGGTACCTGTTTGGGTGGCTGACTGAAGCCAGGAGCCCATAGATCGAGTGCCAGCCTGGGTCGAGTGCCAACCAGGAGTGGCACCGAGGAAGGGGGTGGGGCCGGCACCATGGGTCAGCAGTTTGAGGCGCTGCTTGCATCATCAGCATCCATACTGGAGCACCGGTTCTAGGCCTGCCTGCTCTACTTCCTGTCTAGCTTCCTGCTGCTGTTGCTACGGAGGCAGCAGAAGATAGCCTGGACCAGACCTGGCTGCTGTGGCCATTTGGGAAGTGAACTACTAGATGGAAGCTCTTCCCCCCTGCTACCATTACTCTACTTTTCAAATGAATAAGTAAATTACTTAAGAAGACTAGAGCTGAGATCTCAGCAGGGAATCATGGGCTGGTGTGCAGCTGTGATAGGCCGGGGCCACCTGAGCTGGCCTGGGGGCAGTGCGTGGGAGTGTGGGCCTGCTTGGGACAGATTGAGCAGCGTTGGCCTGAGGTCGGTGTGGGTGCACAAAGCTGGAGCTCACTCCTTCCAAGGAGGGAGGAGTTTGGTGTGCGCACGCATGTCCCACCCCCATCACCCACCCCCCACCCCAGCTGGCAGGGGAGCCTGCTGGCCTTGAGTGGTGGAATTGTACCTTTAGCCTCTGCTCTCCCTGCATCCTACTTCCTCCCTGTTTGTCTTTGCCTGCTGTGAGTTCTTGCTCTTTCCACCGACTCGGGCACCCTACAGAGGCCCCATTCTGCCCTGTAACCTTTGCCCTCACATTCTTCCAAATTTTCCAATTGGCAAGTCCAAGTTTAGATCTCTTGGGAACCTTCTGTGCTCGGCTCTCTCTCCTTGGTCCCCAGCTGAACTGTGGGTTGGTAGCGTTGTGGCGAGGCAGTCTTCCTTTTTTATCAACAGCTGGCACAGGACAGTGAGGTTTTGTGGACCAGAGGTGTCCAGTCGGCCTGCCTTGGATAGGGTCACCCCAGGACCCAGGGGAGAGCGCGGCGTGTGCAAGCGGGAGGCTGGCACTGTGCAGCTCACCCGTCTCTCGTGTTTGCGTAGCACCTGACAATACTTGGTTTCCTGACTCAGATATGCACCAAGTGAACTTGAGTTGCCTAGGGATTCCTGAGCAGTTTCAGCTGCCACATTTTGGTGGTGGCATTGCCTAGTTCCAGATACAGTGCCCAGTTTGTCGCAAGCAGGCCCTCACCGCCACCACCCCCAGGCCAGCTCAGGTGGCCCCGGCCCATCACTTCTATGCACAGATGAGAGAAGGTGTGCTTTGCTCAGACTTGCACACTTTTGATGCATGCTCCTCCCTGAGCAGTGGGAAGGGTGGCTGTTGCTGGGTTCTGCACGCATTGCAGTTCCGAGAGGCAGTGTGCGCTGTCTTCCCTGGCTCTTTCCTGGAACTGACCGAAGCCGTGTCGTTGCAGGCCGTGAGTCCTCCGTCGGCCTCAGCTCCAGTCTCTGCCTTCTCTCGCACTTCGGTCACGCCGTCCACCCAGGACATCTGCAGGTAATTCTCTGCTTGCTGCCGAGGCTGCCAGGATCGGTGTGTGTCCCCCGGGCGGCACTGGTGTCTGCAGGGCCTCCTTACCCCTTGATCAATCTGCTGTTGGGCCAGTTTTATATGCTGCTTGCTCTCGAAGCTGCTCCACAAGTCTCATTTCTTCGCTCTGATGTCTGTTCTCCTTTAAAATTGTTTTTACTCTCTGTGCTTTTATCCCACTGTTCTGCATGCAGTTCCAGTGCAGTGTTTTCTGAGTGTTGTCACCACAGTCCCGTGCAGTCTGCCGTTGTCTTGAAAGCTCCTCCATGCCGGAGTTCTCTGACACCAGGGCTCCCTGTGACAGTTCTCTGTAAAGACACAGTACAGGCGCCCAAGCGAGATGCCTTTGGTTCGGAATGGGCGCAGGCCCTAAAGCCCACTAGGAACACGAGAACAAGAAGAGCACTGAAATTCTCCAAGTCCCTGAACGATGTTGGGGAGAAGGCCCAGGATGTGCCGGCAAGTTTGGACTACGCGGAGAGAACCTGCTCGGAAGGCCGACTGACACTCCCTCAGGGCCCCTGTCTCGGGATGAGCGGGTTCCCTCTCAAGGACCGGAGGACGCCCAGCCACAGGCTGCGGGCCGCTCCCTGGCGCTCCTGCTTTTCATCCCTGTCTGCCTCTGAGGGGGATGCCGGCAAGGGCAGTGTGCGTGTCCCACTCCTGGATGAGCCGGCAGACGGCCAGGCTGCATCACGCAGCCGGCGGCTGCTCCGCTACCTGCTGTCGCTGTCCCGCGGCTCGAGCGCCAGCAGTCTGCACAGGTTCCAGGAGCTGGAGAGCTGTGTCCTTGCCCCGCGCACCGCCAAGGCCTCCAGCGGGCTGGCTGGGAGCACGGGCTTCTGCTCTGACGACATGGGGGACGACGATGTCTTTGAGGACAGCACATCCATCAGGCTGACGGGTGGGGTCGTGCGGGCCCCCCTGTGTTCCGTGGAAAAGGACAGTGACCTCGACTGTCCTTCCCCCACTCCTGAGAAACGGCCCCTCGCGTCTCCTGTGTCCGCATCAGGGGATGCCTGCAGGTTGGTTTGCCAGAAGCTGCCACCCCGGCTGTGCCTGTGTGCACCTCCGTAGCCCCCTGTTGCTCTAGCGTGTGAGGTCCCAGGAAGGTGGTGGTAGCCAGTTGGGGGTCCGTGTTTCCCTCTGAAGGATGGAGTATGGGTGTTTGAAAGCTGATGTCTAGGAAACGAGACCCGAGCTAGACTGCCAGGTGGTGAAAGAAGCAGCTGCGCCTGGGAAAGGCCAAGCTGACCGCTCTCAAGGAAAGATAAGTAGACTTTGCTTAAAGAAGCTGGAAAAAGGAAAATAGTCTCTGTGGCCTTCGTGCTGCATGGCCCAGGCCGCCCTACCCGGCCTCTCTGCCCTGTCCCCGCGGGCATGGGAGTGGCTCTGCCCGGCTGCTGGCTGGTCCCAGTCTGTCGCCCTCTCCTTCTGCCTCTCCTCCCCTCCCATTCGACACGGCCATTTCTGTTCAGGGCCATCTTCCACTTCCCAGTTCCCAGATGCAACTGCTTATGCATCTGAGAGACAAAAGGAACTGGAGGTTCATCCTACAACTGCCCAGTTGTTCCCAGTGGCTGGAGTGGGACAAAGGCTAGGGCCGGGCCAGGAGTCGGGAATCCCACCGTAGGTCCCCTGTGTCAGTGTCAGCAACCCAGTTGCTGGAGCGTCAGTGCTGCCTCCCAGGGCCTGCGTTGGCCGGAAGCTGGAGTCAGGAGTTGGTGTGTGGGATTGGAGCCAGGTGCCATGACCCGGGACCCGGGTGTCTTAATCGCTAGGTTGAATGCCCACCCCTCCGATATGCACTGTTACCATCCCTTGTGCGTCGTCCTGATCCAGCCTCCCAGGCCGCTCAGAGCTTGCTTTTTTAGCCATTCTTGGGCCTGGCCTGTTCTGTCCTTGGCCCAGTCTCTCCTGCTTGGCAGCAGCTGTTAATGTTTTCTGGCAGTTGGATCAGAAACGTTGTCACTGACGCAGACCTCCCAGGCCAAAGCCTGGCTCCTTTAAGGACAGGTGTCTCTCCTCCCTGGCAGCTGGGAAATCCCGTTCCTTCTGTAAGATAGTCGGTCCTTTGGGGTTAGTGGCCGTGTCCTGCTGCTTGGCTCCTTGGAGACCACAGACACTTAGGATTCAAAAGAGATGGCAGCACCTTTTCCTGGTGAGTTTTCAGTTCCCGGCATGGTTCATTCACTGAGCGATGGAGGAAGTGAGTAGTGGTGTGTGAGTGAAGTTAGGGATGAGAGCTAAAAGGCCAGCTCCTCGTCTTTGCCATTCGTTGTGGTGCACTTGGAAGGTAGCTCGCTGGCTTCAGTGGATGTGGAAATCATCTTAACATCTTCTGCTGGGAAGATGGCTGCACGCTGTGTCTGAGGAAAGCCCGTGAGTGTTTGTGGAGACACGAGCACGCTGTCGTTTGCTGTGTTGCTTCCCCCTGTGCCGCACAGACCTCCCACGCCTTTGTGGCAAGCAGGCACGAGGCAGCCGCCATGGCCATCTTCATCTGTGTGTGTGTGTGTGTGTGTACACACACGTGCTGTGCTGCTCGCCAACCTGTGGCGTCTGCATCCAAGAGCGGAGCGGGCCGTGGGGGATTGGGGGGCCCTTCTGGCAGTGACCACCTCTCCTTCTGACGCAGGATCTGTCACTGCGAGGGAGACGACGAGAGCCCCCTCATCACCCCCTGCCACTGCACGGGGAGCCTGCACTTCGTGCACCAGGCCTGCCTGCAGCAGTGGATCAAGAGCTCGGACACACGCTGCTGTGAGCTCTGCAAGTACGAGTTCATCATGGAGACCAAGCTGAAGCCTCTGAGGAAGGTGTGCACACGTAGGGGCAGAGAGCCAGGGCCTGCTCTCTGGCTGGCTCCAAGCTGCGGGGTTTCTGGCCCTGTGGACCCTCAAGTTTCCTTGCCTGTCTGTTACTCTCCTGGCCCTGCCCACAGATGGTCACGTGATACTGAGTCTGGGTTTGTCCTTGGTGACAGTTTTGTCACGTCTCTCCCGAGGACCGCACATCGGAGTGAGCGGCTCTCCTCAGCGCTGGGCCCACGTGGCACAGAGTTGATCTGTCTGCACCCGTAGGGCCCCTGCTGGCTGGGGAGAGGCAGCTAAGCCCAGGCCCCCTTGAGCCCACTGCCCCTGTTGTGAGGAATCCTGTGCCTGGCCCTGACCTGCAGTGGTTTGTCCAGCTGCCCAGTGCTGAAGGCTCTGTTGGGAGGGACAAAAGACTAGCTATACCTGTCTCAAAACCTGAGCATGAGAACTGCAGAGGAATTCATTTCTGGATGGCAGTGTAGGGACACGCATGTCAGATGCTCAGAGAAGGCAATGCTACCGTGGGCCTCCCTTCTGCTGGGCAGGTGCAGTGGTCGTGGCCTCATGGGAAGTTTGGGTCTCAGCAGTTCTGGAAGCATTGGTGAGACTTGGAGGCCAAGAGAAAGAGGCTGGGGAGCCACCATGTCTGTGGGTAAAAGCACACAGCCAGAGGGAGGAGGTGAACTCTCTGAGTCAAAAGGGTGGAGATGCAGGTCTCCTGGGATGTGGCCGGGGTTTGTGGGTACAGAATGCAGCCCGGGAACTTGGCAGTCGGAGGTGGCGGGATGTCAGAGGAGGCAGGTGCAGACTCCTTAAATAATGAATGGCCCAAGTAATGCCTGCTAATTCTGGGGTACCATCTGTGGGGGTCTTGCAGCACCAGGGTTGTTTATGGAGAGCCCCTTGGAGCAAGGCCTGGCTGGAGTTGGAAAGCGTCCCCAGAGCGTTCACACTGTGTTCTTTCTCTCCTCCTCTCTGTTTTCTTCTGATTCGGAAGCTGGTAGATGAAAAAGTCTGGCTCTTTGGAGTAAATGTATGAACTCCTAGCGGAGAAGGGACTGGCAGAGCCTGCTTGTACCAGGAACTCTTAGCACCGATCCCAGGCTGTTGCTGCAGAGTAGCAGAGGACCAAAAGAGTGAGCACCTTCTGCCATTCACCTTCACCACGTAGCATGGCCATCTGCTGCTGTGTCGTGGCATCATCAATCCTCTTCCGCTCATCCATGTCAGTCAGCAAGGCAGGGCCACGTAACATACGCCCCCGGGGTCTCGAGCCACCGTGTCCCCATCAGGACCGAGATCCTACACTCCTCTGTCAGGCCATTGGAGATGAGCTTGTGGGAGTAAGCAGAGAGGTGCGAGTGGTGGTGTAGCCTCATCTCAAGCCCAGCCTCTGTCCATCGCCTGCAGCCTGGTTCAAGTGCTGTGACAGCAGCTTTGGGTGTTTGGGGCATGGTTCATCCAGGTGGGGGAGCAGATCCTCCCCGGCTGCATCCTCATGCGTGGCACGCGTGCTGTCTTTGCAGTGGGAGAAGCTGCAGATGACGGCCAGTGAGCGCCGGAAGATCATGTGTTCCGTGACGTTCCACGTCATCGCCATCACCTGCGTGGTCTGGTCATTGTACGTGCTCATCGACCGCACCACCGAGGAGATCAAGCAGGGGCAGGTCACAGGTGGGTATTGCAGCGGGCAGGTGAGTTCCAGGGGCTGCTTAGGAGCGGATCATTACCCCGGTCAGACCCAGTGATGCCAGGATTGGGAGGTGGTAGGGCCAGTGAGCACCAGGTCTCCTGTGGGCAAGTTGCTCCTGCTCTGGCGGCCATCTTTGAAATCCAGTGGGAAGGGATCGAGTCTCCAGGACTGCCTCATGGCGGAGCAGAGCGAAGAGGCCGCGCTCTGCTCCTCCTTGGCGGAAGCAGGGTCGAGCGAAGGAAGACCCCCAGGCGTCAGACCTACTGATTGGCCAGCTGTGCTTTCTCCCTTGCAGGGATCCTGGAGTGGCCCTTTTGGACTAAACTGGTGGTCGTGGCCATTGGCTTCACTGGGGGGCTGCTCTTCATGTACGTTCAGTGCAAAGTGTATGTGCAATTGTGGAAGAGGCTCAAGGCCTACAACAGAGTGATCTATGTGCAGAACTGCCCAGAAACTAGCAAGAAGAGTATTTTTGAGAAATCGGCACTAACAGAGCCCAACTTGGACACCAAGGATGGACGTGGAGCCTGTCGTTCCGACACAAACTCTTCCTGTTGCTCAGAACCCGAGGACAGTGGGGCAGAAGTTCTCCACGTCTGACCGTGCGCGCCTGCAGAGGCTGCCATCTGCCCGGAGCTGCTGGCCGTGGCTCGCTGCCCGTCGTGCCCTTTTCTTACGGCCTTCAATAGCCTAGACTGCCGGGCACGTGACTGCTGTTGGCGGCTCCTCTCTCCGAACCCTCCTCCGGGAAGCCCTCCTGTGAGCAGGACTGGGCCGGGTCCCCTCTGCTGAGGCTGCTATGTGGAAGGGAAGGTCAAGACCACACTGAGCCATCCTGGGGGCCAGGTGGAGTTACCCATGGGTCCAGGCAGGAGGAGGGAGGAACACGCCATGCCTGATGGCCGAGTCTGGGTACCGGACCAGGCCCTGGGCACGGCCGGCCCTTCCCGCACTGGGAATGGTGGGAGAGAAGGGAGGGGGAGGGAGGCCCCTCCAGGCACGTGCTCCTGCCCACGGGCCGGGCCTGGCGCTCTGTGTCTGCCAGTGCGTGCTGTGCTAAGGAGACAGCACTTTACAGAAGGGATACGTGCATCCGGAAGGACCAGCACTTCACGTTGCACCCAGAAGCCTTCCCTTTGTCACCGTCTTGTTCAGTTTACGTCCTGGTAGGTGCACAGCCCTCTCTGCCTTACGTGTTCTAAGAGGATGGAGAGCAAACGTGGAAGAGACCCATGGGGTGAGGTTTTCCTCGGCAGGTGTCCGCTGGGGCCGTGGATGCTGCGCAGCGAGTACTTGGGGCTTTGAAGCTGCTCTCCGATGAGTCGTTACCTCAGACACATGTGCTGTGTACTTGCTCTTTGTGGTCAGTGCTGGAGGCAGGGGCTTTGAGGTCTGTGTGGAAGGGGACCGAGGGTTTGGAAAACGCTCTCACAGGTAGACCTGCAGGTGGCGCTGGCCACACGTGGCTGCTCCCACACTTGCCTCCTGCTGACTTGTATGTGGAGTCCTGGCCGAGGGCTGAGGACCCAGGGGCCACCTCTGCCATGTCCCTAGCCCAACACCCACCTGCCCGTTGCCTTAATTGGACTGAACAGTGAGGGGTCTCAGCCCCACTCGTGGTCTGTTCTCTTCAGGGATTACCTTCTGTACTTTTTTTTTCTTCTGAAACAACAGAACCCAAAGCATCCCCATCAAATGGCCTCTGTCCCTTTGGGAACTCTGAGGAAGTTCTCCTTCACCCCCAGTTCCATAGGGCTACGCATCCAGCCCCTGGAAGAGACCAAGGACCTGAGGGCCTCCATGAGCCTGGCCTTGGCCAGTGGAAGCCCTAGCCTTGGGTTTTGAGAGCCAGGGGGAGTAGGGTGGCCTCTGCACTCACAGACTCTAGTCTGTAGAGCTGCCCACCACGTCAGGACCCTCCCCAGACCAAGCAGGTGCCATGCTGTCGCAGCCGGCTCCCAAGCAGCCTGTCCCTCCCCGTTCTCCCTAGGCGGTGTCTGTGCTGACTGTGCCCCAAGTGCAATTACCCACGTCCCTTCTCACCTGGGGATACCAGGCAGCCTCAGACTTGCCCGTTCTGGTTGGCTGGCTCCCAGCACAGCCGTGCCTGTAGCCCTTAGCAACTCTGTGCACTGCCTCATCACCCTCTGACAGTGAAGGCCACAATGGATTTGTTTAAAGTATGAGCCCTCCTCCCTCTAACTCTCTTCTCCCCCAACCCGAAAAGTTCGGAATAGCTTTCCCTGGACTGCGGAAGCCCTGAGGCTTTGCGCTTCGTGGAGACAGCCCTGGCAAGGCCGGCACTGCTTTAGAGCTGAGGTGCCCCCGGATCCTCCTCTCCCTCCCGGGTCCAGCCAGGCAGGCCTGTGAAGGCTTCTCCTTTCAGTTCCAGAAGGCCTGACCCCTTTGCCTCCTTGCCCCTACCGTCCGCATCCACCTCCCGTTGGCCTCTCTCCTCGCCCTCAGATCCCTGCATCTGTGGGGGAGGCAAAGGCCGGCAAGGGCTGCCCTGGTAACAGCTGCAGGTCTACCTGCTCCTGGGGGCTGCCTGTGTTCACCCACAAGGTGCCTTTGAGGGGCTGCTGAGTCCCCATGTGCCCCGCACCTTGCATTGCCATTTCTGTGAGAAAATGGTGTCTGGCAGACCAGGTAGAAACCAGGGCAAGGTCTTGGGGGTCTCGGGATCAGGAGGGGGGAGGGAGAGCTGTCCCAGGGGTGTCAGCAGCCAGCCACCTAGATGCTGTTCTCACACACTGGCCACCAGCTGCAGGCTGGCCTCTGCGCTCATGTCTGCGGCCTGTGGAGGTCTCTGCCTGCACCAGGCTTCTGACGCCTTTCTTTTTCTTGGTCCTGCCCCCGTTGTCTTCAACAGTGTGGGCCTGGTTTCCAAACCCACCTGTGATTGCCTGGGCGGCGTGGGCAGGTGGGGTGCACCGTAGGGGTTAAGGATCCTCCCCGCCCCCCCATGGCCTGGGGGGCGTGGCTCTCTGCAGGCACGTTGGAAACCTTCCTATGCCTGGTGGTGGGTTTGAGTACCTCCATGTGCGCCCCTGGGGCAGGCAGCCCCACCGGGAGACAGGAGCCTCCTCCCTGGCTCAAACATGCGTCTGGTCGGTACACCTGGCAGCCCAGTGTTTCCAGAAGGTTGACTTTTTCAAAACCAAATTCACACTGGCCCATGCGGCATAGTTCTAAAAGACACTTCACACTGGGAATTTTTTTCTCGCGTTTCTAGCAACCTAAATGTCTAGTTTTATATTCTCCCGTGTGTGTGCAGTGTGTCTCTGTATCCTGGTGAATAACTCTGTGTGTGTGTGTGTGTGTGTGTGTGTGTGCGCGTGGGGGGCGGGGCGGGGGCCGCGTGTGTGGTGACACGTGGGGATGCCCAAATGCAGCAATAAAGCTCGTCTTTCTAAAGCGGTATTGCCGAGGAGTGCTTGCCTGCCTGGAGCCTGGTGGGAGGGGCGGACACTCTGGGCTCAGCCCCGTCCCAGGCCGTCAGGCAGCCTGACGCCACCATGCGTGAGTGGGGCGCACGGGGAGTACCCCGGAGTAAGCCCCACGCCAGTGTGCTTCCGAGAAGGTCAGGTTCAAGTTGGGACTCACAGGGGCTCTCCGAGGAAAGGCATCGGCACCGGTTGCCAGGTTGCACGCAGGCAAGTGAGGGCACGCTTCCTCTGGCTGACGATGGAGGAACAGGACTGGCCCCGCAGTTGGCAAGGAGAGGGTCATAAGCATGACGACAATGAATGAAAATGGATAAGGGGGCATGTGATCAAACAGTCCCTTTGCTCAGGGAAGGGCCCGTTAGGGGCAGCAGGGAGAGCAGGCCAGGGACTGGCTACTGGGCTGGAGGTGCTGGGGACAGACCCTGCCTGAGGAATCCAACTCATGATATTTATCTTTGTACCCTTCTGTGCGTGCGGACATACATGTGTACATGGGCGAGAAGGGCTGTCCTGGAGGTATATTTGTTGAGGTAGAACAGAATGGGGACGGGTGCAATTTTAAGTTGGAAAACTGACCTCTCAGATGAGTCGCTTCGCTTCGCCTCGTGCGGAGCGGCTTCTCTGCCGACGGCCACGCGGGTGCAGGCCTGGGCACGGTTTCTGTTTGGATGGCGGTGGTTCCTTGCGCAGCCGTGAAGCTGTACTTTGCCTTGCTCAGACAACTGTAGTTGCAGGTTCCTGTCCTCTAGCTCCCGGCTGCTGCTGCGAAGTGCCATGCTTTTGCTTTTTTTATTTTTGTAGTTTTACATCATTGTGTTGCAGGTGTTTTTTTTTTAAGATGTATTTATTTTTCATTGCAAAATCAGATATACAGAGAGAAGGAGAGACAGAGAGGAAGAGCTTCCATCTGATGATTCACTCCCCAAGTGAGCGTGACGGTCAGTGCTGCACTGATCTGAAGCCAGGAGCCAGGAGCTTCTTCCAGGTCTCCCATGCAGGTGTAGGGTCCCAAGCTTTGGGCCATTCTTGACTGTTTTCCCAGGCTACAAGCAGGGAGCTGGATGGGAGATGGAGCTGCCGGGAATAGAATCAACGCCGATATAGGATCCCGTCACGTTTAAGGTGAGGACTTTAGCCTCTATGCCTCCACGCCGGGCCCTGCAGGTGCTTTTTAATAAGGTAACTTTGTACTGCTAGGTGATGTGCGATTTGTAAATTGATTGTACTTACTGAAGTTTGATCTTGTAAAGACTTCATTGCAAAGGCCAGAGGGACTGAGAAGAGAAGGAGGGCGAGAGAAAAAGACTGTCCATCCACCGATGCACTGTCCAGATGGCTGCTGGGCCTGGGCCTGGGCCTGGGCACGGCCAGGCTGAAGCCAGGAGCCTGGAACTCCATCTCAGTCTCCCCTGGGAATGACAGGGCCCGAGCATTTGAGCTGCCATTCTCTGCTTTCACACGTGCGTTACAGGAATCAGCTGAAGATCAAACCGGCGCTCCCACATGGGACATTGGCCCAGCTCGGCCTGCTGCGTCAGTGTCACCTCCTCCCCTCCCAGGATTTGATCTTAGGAGAGCACCGTTGGGTGTTTCCCATGTCATGGTTCCCTGTTGACATCTCACCCCGTTCACAGCCTCTGCCATCGCCGTCTCCCGTTCTGCAGTGGTGCGCGCTGATACACAGCTTCATCCCTTTGTTGGCATTGGTGCCGGGGTTTTGACTTAGGCGTGTCTCCACCGTCCTGCCATGGAGCGGAGCAGCTTCCTTGCTTTGGACACCCGCCAGGGTCTGGCTGCTCATGTCTGCCCTGGCAGCCCCGGCTCCTTCTGGTGCCCCCAGCTTGTCACGGGGAGAGTGTAGCCTTTTTGTGGAGGGACTTCTCTTTCTTGCTCTGGTCCTGGGTTGGCGGCCCGCCACCTTCTGGCACCACGTTGTGGTGTCATGTGCACGGAACACAGCTTGATCGTCGCTCACCGAGGAGGAGACCCTGTTTGGCTTCCAAGTCTCCGCAGCTGTGAAACGAGCGGCTCTGGCTGGTGGTCTGTGTGTCTTTGGGTGGACATAAGCTTACCAGTCCTTTGAGAAGATACCCAAGGGTGTGACTGCTGGTGCAGGGGTGGGAAACACACTTCAGTGTTGTAAGGAGCTGCCAAGGTTAAGATCCCAAGCCGGCGCTGAATTAGGTTGTTTCCTTATTGAAAGGTAATAACTGTATTTTGGGGGGCATTTCTTCAGCAGATGGTGTGTGTTGGAGGAGTGTCTTCTCTCTCAGTGTCGGTCCCGTTCGCTGGATGCACTTTTACACAGCGGTGTTTCCTGAAGGCCAGTTTATCTCTGGCTCAAGCCTTTTGTTTATCTGAGATGTTGTAGCCATAACCTACAGCATCAAAATTTTCCTCCTGTGTCATCTCCTGGAAGCTGTATAGTCTTGTGTCATACATTTAGGTTTATATTATTTGCGTGTGTGTGAAAAATACAAGGTCTTTGTTGAGATTTTTTGTCGGGGGGGTTACTTTTTACCTGTGGCTGTCCAGTTGTTCTAGCACCATTTGTTGAAAAGACTCGAGATTCGGTTGCCTTTGCTGCTGGGCTGGAGATGAGCTGACTGTGTGAGGGTCTTTCTGGAATCCTTGCTCTGTGCCCACCGACTTTTGTCTATTTGTTTTCTCCAACTTTGCCCTGTCTTGACTCCTGCAGCTTTCCAGGAAGTTGGATTGTGTGAGCCATCCTCCTGCTTGTTACAGAGCGAAGGGGACACAGATCTTCCTTTTGAGGGTTCACTTCCCAAATGGCTGTGGCTGGACCAGGCTTAAGGCAAGAGATTCCAGGTCAGTGAGGGGGGTACAGAGACCCACGTACTTGGGCTGTCTTCTGCCATTTTCCCAAGGTGTATTAGCGATGAGCTGCGTGGGAAGTAGCGAGGCCAGGACGTGAACTGGTGCCCATGTAGGATGCTGGTGTCACAGGCAGTGGCTTAACATACTGTGCCGCAACGCCAGTCCCCTGCTGGCTGTCCTGAATCTTTTGATCTCCCGTGTAAACTCTGGACTCAGTTTGTGAGTGTCGCACTGAGTCTGTAGCTCTAGCGGGGAGGGCTGACCTCTGGGTGGTGTTGAATCCTCCCCCAGTGACTGTGGAGGCTCTCTGGGTTTGCTCACTTCTCTCGGCTTGCTTTCATCACAGTCTTGGAGTTTTCCTCATGGACCTGCACACAACTAGTTAGGTTTATTCTTAAGTGTTTTGTGGGAGGGTAGTGCTAATAAGAACAGCATTTTGTTCTCAAATTTCTGGTTGCACTGTCCCTTGCTGGTGTCCGGGAAGTGACTCATTAATTCCGGGAGCTGTGGACTGTCAGATTTTCTACATAAATGATCATGTCACTACAAGGTGTTTTATTTCTTCTCATTCTGTGTATCTTTACTTTCATTTCTTCTTGCATTACATTGGACTTTCAAGTCTTCAGTTACTATGGAACTGTATACATATATGCAGATATGTGCAGATGAATATGCAAACATGCAAATCTATTACATGTCTGCACGCATCCTGCGCATATACATGCATACACATGCACATAAACCCACATATAAACATGAATATGCAAATACGCACGCATGCATTAAACCTGCACATGCAGATAGTTTATATGCATATGTGCAGATATACATGCATATATATGCATAAATTAATATGGATGTGCACAGATGCAAATCGTGCACATGAATATGCATGCATAAAATCTGCATCTATACTTGCAAATTCATGCATTTCTATGCATTTATGTGTGCATATGCATGCATATTCGTACATATTTTCATGCATGCAGATTTGTCTACATATAAATATGGAGCATATGACTGCATAATGCACTCAACACGTGCATATGAATATGCATATGTGCAGATTCTACGCATATTCATGTGCACGCTTTGCGTGTATGCAGATCTAGTCATATATGCATGCATATTCACATGCATATATGCAGATCCTATGCATGCACATTCACACGCAAGTGTTTATGTGCATTTATATATGCAGATTTATGTGTGCATACATTTCTATGCATGCAAATGCATACATGAATATGGATATACATAAGATGCATATAAAACATGCGTATGAATATGCATGCACAGTTGTAGCGTTTTATAAGCTTGCATGTATGTGCATGCATATTCGCATGCGTATTTTGTATGCAAGCACTCATCTACATACACGCATATCTATTTGCATACATGCATATAAATGCACATATACATGTGCATGCAAATATGTGCTATGAATATGTAAGCATGGATGCAGATTTATGCATGAATATTCATAGTGTACATGCATGCAGATGTATATTCATGAGTGCATTCATATGTATGGAAAGGTGCATAAATTGCATATATGCACACATGCATATAAACCGTTCGACATGAATATGCACGCACACAATCTATGTAAATGCATATAAAATGCATGCAGAAAATCTGCACATGTGTATAAAATACGTTAATATGCACACATAAGCATGCAAATGAACAAAAGTATGCATGCATAAAATCTGCATATATGCATACAAACCACCCACACATGAATATGCATGCATAAAACCTGCATGCATACATACATGCATAAATGCATGCAAATGGCTATTTGCATGCATGAGATATACATGCATAGATGCATGTGGGTTTGTGGATTTGCATGTGCATGCATAAATTTGCATTCATGCATGTGAAATGATTGTGCATGAATACGCATGCACAAAAGCATTTGAGCCTTGTGTGTGCATGCATAAATCTGCATATATGCATACATGCATATAAACCGTTCGACATGAATATGCACGTACGCAATCTGTGTAAATGCATATAAAATGCATGCAAAAAGTCTGCACATATGTGTATAAAATACATTAATATGCACACATAAGCATGCAGATGAACAAAAGTATGCATGCATAAAATCTGCATATATGCATAC